GGCATCTTTACACAAAGTAAAGCACCTCTCAGGTCTAATTTTTGTTTGCTGGATACAAGAAATGCCTTTAGGCTGCTTTACAGTGTATATATTTATAGCCCGCACACTTTTTATATTCAACTAGTTTCAACGTTCAGCTTCCATCAGATACTACTTTGAATTTTCTTTGAGGAAGTCTGAAAATTAGTTCCCTTTCTGGGTACTTACTTCCATTTCTGCTCTGTCCGTTTCATACTGACACAGTCTGTCCTTTAAACATCTGCATTCTTTAATTAACTCCTTGTTTCCTTCCTCCAGCATCAGAACTCGTCTGCTCATGGCTTCAAGTTTTCCCATGTGATCCAGAAATGGCTTTGGAGTATTAAGTATTGTCTTTTCACTTCTGGCTTCATTTCGAGCAACTTCTAGTTGCTGTCGAAGCAACGTGTTTTCACTTTGTAGTTTACGTATTGTCTCCTTCAAGAATGCCTGCTTTGCAATGTATTTGATGACGTCCCCTTGTTTGCTCTGAGACAAGGGTTCAGTTTCCTTGTTTGAACACTGGGCTTGGCCTCGGTCTCTGTGCACACATTCTAATACCAACGTTGTTGGTGTAAGAGCATCTCTCCTGGGATGGAGCTCAATTTCTGGGCCACGGAATTGACGCTCAGCTTCAGGAAGTTGCTGAGGAAGCACCTCGCTGCTATCTTTTGGGTCAGACAGCTCAAAATTCATTGTGTCCTGTAAGTGAAACCCCTCATCTCTTACTCTTTGAACTGTACGCAATAAACTGACATATCATAATTTCCTTTGAAGTGGAAGACTAATCTCTAAGTTTATACAACAAAAAGTTTGCAGTAACTGGGTATCCAACTGGAAAAACTTAAGGTGGATACAAATCTCAAACTTTTACCAGAAATCCCCCAAAGTTCAAAAATTTAATTAAAGACAGTGAATCCATCAAAGTAAAAAAGAAACCACAAAAGGATGTTTAAGAAGCTCAGAATCAGAAAGGCCTTTCTTTCTCTGAAATACAACAAACCCAAAAGGCTTAAAATAAAAAATGAATAAAACTTGACTACACTTAAAAATTATATCTGACATCTAACCTTTACAGCTACCCCCAAAGTAAGAGCCTTGGCTCTGTAGAAATTGGGACAGGTTAGATTTCCTAAAAAATTCTTTCCTGAGAATATTCCATAAATATTCTCCCTTTCTAACATTTTTAGAGCGAGTTATAAGAATTACATCTATGGATAAATGATAAATCTAAGCACTGTACTAAGCACATCTACAAACATCAGTTAACTCATTTAGCTGTGACAATTCTGGAATAAAGGGTTAAAAACACAAGCAACCTGCAGGGTTTTCCCCAGGGCTTCTGACTCTCTGACTCTTACACCAAACCAAAGCTACTTCTCTAGGATAAATACATAAACACAAGAGACGCCTTCTATTTCCCTAATGGTGAATACACTAAAGGTAAAGAAGGTCAAATTTACAGAGCTGCTCTTAGAAAATCAGGAGACTATTTGCTTCCGCAATAATTTTTATTTCTTCTTCATGGTGTTTATAACAGTAATGGATGTGAAATAGCAGGGAAATACAGTGAACTGTTTTATTAAAAATAAAATACTGATCAATAAATTATCACTAAGTATAGATTACGGCATCTCTATCACTATATACGAAAGCTCCCTGAAATCGGATACTACATGGAGCAGAGCGTCACTTTTTATCACACGTAGGAGAATGACACCCAAACTACGGTTTCTGAACTGGCTATACGTTTTCCTCCTTACCATCAGTGGATGGTCTATCAAAGGAGTGAGATCACTGCCAGAAACTAGAATGCCTGCCGTTAGTAGCAACAGTTTTGAGATCATGGAAAGCTCAATTCCTATGGACAATATTAACAGCCTCTCCTTGGATGAGGCCATTGTGAATGTCACTACATCATTGTTGCCGGCAAGTGGATTTGAATTCAAAATATTGCTTTATCCAATAGACTGGAAATGAAACCTCCAGAAAGTATATTTACATATACAGGCTTTTAAAACCCTCTATACTTTCTGTACCTACAGTATTGGTTTTTAAACTATGTAAGTATACAAATTCACACACACACGTTTGAAGATGACTAAAGAAAATACCTCAGCATTCATTTTCTTATTAGCCTTTTCTGCCTCCTTTTGTTGGGAAAGACGATGGGCCAGGATTTCATCTTGTATTACTCTGGCATTCTGCTCTCGAGAAAGTTGTCTCTGAGCGTCATTTCGCTCTTCTAAAACCTGAAGACATATTACATTAGGGTTTGGGTTTTACAACATGAAAAAAGTAAAAAAAGCTTAGGAGGGGAATCTTTAAAAAGAAATTTTAAACCTGTTAATAAGATGTAGCTTTTTTAAGCACAGGGACCTTTAATGCACATAAACAACTCAAATTCTAACATACATGACAGCTAAATGTATCACAGAGCAAAAACACAAGGGATGTAGTATCATGAAAGAAAAACTTTTTTAGCACTTTTTAACTTGAGTTATAGTCATTTTACAATGTTGTGTCAAATTCCAGTGTAGAGCACAATTTTTCAGTTGTACATGAACATATATATATTCATTGTGACTTTTTTTTGTTGTGAGCTACCACAAGATCTTGCATTATTTCCCTGTGCTGTACAGAATAATCTTGTTTATCTATTCTGCATATGCCTGACAGTATCTACAAATTTTGAAATCCCAGTGACAGAAAATTACTTTATAAGGCATTTAACCAGTTCCATCATAGTCTCAAGGAGATTTAGCCTGGATTTTAACTTCAAAAAGCCAAAATTAACACCTGGATTTGAATTAGACTTGTTGCTTTGTTCAATGGACCAAAACTGTT